TTCACTTGCAAGACAAAATTGTTATAAATCTCTGAAGTTCAATAAGACAATAATTTGAACGAAATACTGATTGGACACAATAGGCATAATATTAACAACCAGTATGGAATGAGAGAGGACGCAAAAAAAAAATGCTCGAATCTATGGCATAATGTGAGAAGAAAAGAGACTGAAGAATCCTCTAATAACAAAGATAATCTACTATAAGACTGAAAAGAATTCATGCTTCTTTCACTCACTTTCAATAATTTACCAATAAAAACGAAAAAGAAAAGAAGTAATCTTACACGCTCGGACTTCGACGATACATAGATTAGCCGAAATACTTTCTTTTGCTTATGTATTGATAAGGATGACTGTTACAGTATCTAACTCAGCATATTTGTAATGAATAAGAAAAAAACAGTATAAAAAAAAATTATAGCTAAGTTCATCTAAAAATATCAGCTAACCAAGAAAAAAAAAAAGCACTAATAATTTAGACTTAGACTTGGTTGGTAACACCGAGGCGACAACTGACCGATGTTCCCGGAGACAGCAGCTGACCATTGAACGACGAACCATCAGCACTGATTGAGGTGTTAGAGGTCTTGGGAATTTCCTAGAGGGCAGAGCTAAAAATTACACAAAATTTTTCACACATCAGATCTGCAAGAAAAAAAGGCAACAGATAATCTGTTGACTACAGAAATTTTTTTATCTCTTTCTAATTTACTGATCATTTACTTTTTTATGCTCCAATTCTTCTGCTTTAAATTCAAAAAGTGTTATTGCAATTAGCACATTGATCATCGTTCATTATCACACCGAAAATTGTTAAACATATAAAGTTTTATATGGGAGGAAAAAAACTGTGTTAACCTTACGAAGATATAGTAAAGAAAGATAAAAAAAATTCAGATATGCGGTTGATACAAAGAATATGTGTGAAAAAAATTTTTTTTATTGCTCTTATCAAAAGCAGACACATATGATGATCTATTTTTGAATTCTAAATTTTTTTAGCCTTCTTTTTCACAATTTGTGTCGTATTTGTAACGTTTGCTAAAAAACAAAGATTTTTATTTTTTTGGTATAGAAAACTCATAATTTTTTTTGGACTTATAAAAAGATACCATAGAACACTGGAGTTGGCTACAAATTTGTTAAAAAATTTTGTATCCAATAGATTTTTGACCACATCCCAACAGTTTTCAAAATAATTTTGTGTTATTTCATCCTATATAACTCCGGCTAAATATCTATTCAACAATACAGCTAGTTAATGTATAAATTTGAAAGAAAGAAAAAAGAATAGTAAAAGATTTCATCTGAAACTTCTTTAGTTACCTAAAGTCAAATCGTTCGAAGAAGATACCATAGAATACCGAACCAGTTTTTTGATATATCTCTCTATATTCACTCTATGAAGAAACCTCAGCAAATGCACTTATAAAATCTTTCGCAATTTTCAAAATTGTTACACAGAAGAATACAGTGAAAGAATTTTTTTTAACTTTTTGTATCAAAATAATGTGGAACAACAGATTGGCTGCTTTCAGTTCCACAAAATACATGAAGTTTACCATTCACGGGCTATACCAAAACAGGTAAAAAAAGAACATTGCAGTCGTTGGTGGCCAAAAGTTGAGACGTTTGGAGAAGTTATCAAATTTTTTGGTCTGATCAGTGTTCAACGAAGCCTATGCTGAACTGTCATGCAGTAGATGTTTACAGAATTTTGTTAATTGCTCTAAACCAAAGTAACCATTTTTGGAGATTCTGGTTTAAAATTAAGCCATTTAAGGATTTTGTAGCCACTGAAAACTTTTATTTCAAAGAACTAAGGAATCAATCAACTTTTTTTTGTTTTCGTTGAAGAAAGGAATCAACATCTGAACTTTAAAGAGATACTTCTACAATATGTTTTTGCTAAGCGTCACAGTAAAATTTAAAAAATATTAGCTATTCGTTTAAGTAAATTTTTGGTTAAGTAGTTATTAAAAAAAAAAAAGAAAGCTAAAAGTTTGGGGAAGAAGATCAACCATAAGATTTGTGACGTAAAATGTTGAAAAAAAA